CAATCCACCTGCAGACCTGCTGCTGACTGAGGATGAGTTCCTTTCATTCCTTCACCCTGAGCACAGCCGGGGCATGCTCAAGTTCATGGTCAAGGAGATCGTTCGGGACTTGGGTAAGACATGTTCCCACTATCACACTGTTCTAGGCCTGAGGGTGACCGATGGGCTGGGAACACTACGCTGCTAAAAGGGATAACAAGCCCCCGGGTAGGTAAGTTTGTCCTGTTTTGGTTTCTAAGGAAGTTCTTAAGTGGTACTCAGTGAGTTTTAGGTAATGGCCAAGCTGGACACTACCTCCCTCCAACCCTTTATCTGTAGATCAGGATGGCGATAAGCAGCTGTCTCTGCCTGAGTTCATCTCCTTGCCGGTGGGCACTGTTGAGAACCAGCAAGGCCAAGACATTGATGACAATTGGGTGAAAGATAGAAGAAAAGAGTTTGAGGAGCTGATTGATTCCAACCATGATGGGATTGTGACCATGGAGGAGTTAGAGGTGAGCAAGGGTGAATGAATGTTGATGTGTTCCAGGAATGGCCTTGGGTTTGGAGGCGGTGGGCTAATCCTACAGTAAGGTCCCAAAGGAAAGGGAACCTGCCTACGTGATGACCTGAGAAAATGGGCATCAGCATTAGTACTCATACTGAAGAGACGGGAAGGTCTTGTGAAACCTGCTGACTGGGCTGTTGGCCTTTAGAAAGTAACTCCCTAGTTTGTAGAAGGCATCTGAGAATTCGTTTTGGTGCTCAGAATAAAATCCAGGGCCTCTAAACATGCTAAACAAGTGTTCTATCAAAGAGCTACATCCTCAGCCCTGTGTTAAGGAATTCTTGAGGCCCCTTCTGTATGGGACCAGAAGAGAAAGCTCATACTAGCTCCCACTTCTGAAGTGACCTCTGGGCTAGTGTGTAGGTGTGGGGGCTGTGGGCACAGGGCCTCCCTACCGACCGGGTGTCAGGTGTAGGACACTGACTTATGTCTGGATCTCACAGAACTACATGGACCCCATGAATGAATACAACGCTCTCAATGAAGCCAAACAGATGATTGCTATTGCTGATGAGAACCAGAATCACCACCTGGAGCCTGAGGAAATTCTCAAGTATAGCGAGTTCTTCACTGGCAGCAAGCTGATGGACTATGCCCGAAATGTGCATGAGGAGTTCTGAGCATGCCCCGCAACCCTCACCTGGGGCCAGGCCACCCAGGCTCCTATCTGACCCTTCCTACACCTTGAGGGAGAGACCTGTGGTCTAGTGAGACCTGTGGTTGACTGGGTCCCAGGGAGGGTCTGGAATGCTACCTACCCTGTGTCTGGGAACTGCCATGACCCCTAAAAGTGCTGTTCAAGAACCTTCTTTCTTCTGCTATGTCCACATGCTCTGGCTCAGCTCCTGCCACAGAATGGCCCAGACTTATTAAAGATATGCTTAATAAGCTATGTGTCCTCTCCAGCGTGTGTCTGAGGCAGCCGCCCTTCTGTACCAGTTATGGGCTAAGCTGCATTTGCTCCCCCAAATCTCTCTGAGTTGCTACATTCTACTTCTGAGAACTATTTGGAGTGGTTGGTTCAGGGGAAGGTGGGGCACACATCAGGGCCAGGAGGTCTGAGTCAGGCCTCTCCATGAGCTCACCATGCTGGGAAACAATGCAACTCTTACAATTTCCTTGAAAACTGAAAGATTAACATAAAATTAGATCATATTTCTCTGGAAGTAATCAGCCCCACAGTTGCACAGGTGCTGTCTCTTTGGTAAGGTCTTGTAGGCTGTTGGGGTAGGATTTCCCTCACACTCCTCAGAACCTTGCAGGACCCCATCCTCCCCTGTGAGAAAGTACAGATATTTGTTGTCACAAGAATTGTTACTTTAAAATAGAATTGCCTTTTTCTCACATTTTTTTCTTTCTCTTTCTTTGTTTTGTTAGTTTTTCAATATAGGGTTGTTTTTTTGTTTGTTTGTTTCCAGTTACAAGTTTTCTCTGTGTAACAGCCTTGGCTGTCCTGGAACTTGCTCCGTAAGGCCAGGCTTGCCTCGAACTCAGAGGCCCTCCTGCCTCTGCCTCCCGAGTGCTGGGATTAAAGGCATGTGCTACCACTGCCCAGCAACATATTGTCATTCTTTAGATGGAAAAAGAAAACACTGTCTAGGTAGCTTACACTAGATGCTTTTGAGGTGGACGCAGGTGGCCAAAGGTTAAATGGGTTGTAGCTTTCAGTAAACATTGATTCTCTTCATGATAGAAGTGAAAATAGGACCTTAAGGCAAGACATGAAAGATGGAATTTTGTGCATGAGAGAGGTTATGTGGGTCAAGTTGGGCCTTGAGACTGGGATCTGCAGCAGAGTCTGAGCTGGTCAAGGCCCCAGGGCCAGTGCTGTTGAAGGTCTATTTTGGTGCTCAGGGTCACTGCCTTGGTATTAAAAATGGACAGATCAGGAGTGTCAGGCAGCTGACACCTCGTCACAATCCTAGCCCTGCTCTAAATTACCTGTACGACTCTGTTTTTTCCACAGGAAAAAACTATTGTGTGGTATATTGGGGGTGGGGGCGTGGAGCATGCTGGTTTCTGGGCAAAGATGAGACTTCAGAACTCAGAAGATAATCTGGAAAAGCAGATCCCAGCCTCAGTATCCCAGGGTAGTAGGACACACTGCTCTGAAATATGGATCTCTTAGCAGAATATCAGACTTGACCACCATCCTGCACCTGGTCATGGCCTTGGCTTGGAGTGTTACAGCAGAGGTGGCATCCAGGACCCTGTCTCCAGATGAAGGTATAAGAGCAGCCCTGGAAGCCAGCTAGATAGCCCGTCAGGGAGCTGTCATGTGATAGCACCTGCTCTTTCAGCCTGGCACTCAAGGGGGCAGCAGCCTATGGGAGTTGCTTTAGGTCCCTTGTTGGACTTGGGGGATGAGTACAGCCCCACTTTAACCCCTAGTGCCTTAGCCTAGAGCTGTGGTCTCACCTGCAGTTTGTAGGAGCACCAGCTTAGTGGATTCAGTTCCAGTACCATGAAAGCTACTCGGTTTCAGTTTGGTCCTGGAGGACCAAGCAGAAGGGGCCTGCTGTCCTTTATAGACCCTCAGCAGGGAGTCTCTAGGAATGGAGGTCACACACACACAGGCTTCCCTGCACCTCTGTTCACCTGTGTGCCTGATGCTAAGCTCCTTGGCCAGGTGTGACAGCCAAGGACAACAGAGCTCTGAGGGGAGGGAGGGCTGCCTGATCTCGGAAGAGACCATGTGTCACATGTGAGTTTTACCTTTCTTTCTGCTTAGAAAAGGGCTGGGGAATGCTGCCCCAATGCCCTGAGGATTTTTCTCCAGGACCTTCACTGTGCTTCGGAAGCACTGTGACCTCTTGGCCGGCTCTGGCTTCTTCCACCTACTTCCTATTCCTAGCCAGTCCTTACCTTCCAGGTTAGGAGTTTCCATAAGAGGCCTGGGGACTTCTACTTTTCACATGTGATCTTGGGTGGGGGATTTCCAGCCTCAGTCCTGTATCTCATTCTGCTGTAGGACTATCCCTGCACCTAAAAAAAAAAAAAAAAAAAAAAAAAAAAAAAAGCAACCCAAAAAACAGACTTCATCTGTAATCTATGCTGGCCTGGAATTTGGGGCCATCATGCTTTTCTCTCCTGGAAACTGGGATTACAGGTGTGTGCCACTGCATAGTTAGCATGCAACTTTCCAGTTAATTTGGGAATTGATAACTATGTCACAATTTAAATGTGTAATAAGGACACCGCCTCCCTGAAGGTTTCAGTGCAATAGTTGTATGTTTGAAAAGAAAGCCTATGTTGAGCCTGTGACACACTTGTAATCCCAGCATTTGGGAGATGTAAGCAAGAAGATGAGAAGTTCAAGGTCATAAAAATGGTTCAAGGGTTAAGAGCACTTGCCTGAACCCAAATTTGGTTCCCAATATCCATATCAGGTAGCTCACAACTGCCTATAACTCCAGCTCCAGTGGATTGGCCATCTCTGGCCTCCTTGAGCACTTGTTACCACATGCATATATTCCCCACACCCACATACACAATTTAAAAACAATATTTTTTGTTTTTTTTCAAGACAGGGTTTCTCTGTGTAGTCCTGGCTGTCCTGGGAACTTGCTCTGTAGAGCAGGCTGTCCTTGAACTCACAGAGATCCACCTGCCTCTACCTCCCAAGAGCTGGGATTAACCACCACCACCTGGCACTGGCACTAAATCTTGAAAGTGGGAGAGGCTGAGAGAAAAAGATTGAAACGTGCTGCAGAATAAATTCATTGGGACCTGGACAACTTAATAAAACTGTGTAAAATAAAACATGAAAAGGATTATGGATATAGCTCAGTGCTAGAACACTTGCCCAGCCTGTAGAAGAACTTAGGTTCTCAGAACTACAAAAATGGGGGAGGGGAGAGGGGGCAGAGAAAAAGAAAAAAGGTCTGTTCACATTGGAGAGATGACTCAGTAGTTAGGCTTTTTGGGTGTTTTTGTTTTTGAGATAAGGTCTCTGAAACTTAATGTAAATTAGGCAGAGCTGCCTGCTGCTGGCTCCTAAATGCTGAGATTAAAGGAGTACACTACCATGCCCAGTCGTAAAAATCAGGGTTCTTGCAGAGGACCCAAGTTCAGTTTTACCACATTAGTGGCTCACAACTACCTATAACTCTAGCTCTTCTGACCTCCTTGAGTATTATACTTTACATATACGTATGCCCCCCCAAAAGAAAAATATCATTAAAAATGAAATCTCTTTTTAAATGCCTGTGTGTGTTCCTCTGGGTGCTTGCATATGCGTATGTTGGGTATCTGCACCTCCTTCACATGCCCTAGTGGTCCCAAGCACTTCCTAGCCTGTTATAGGACTCTGCCTGTGCCATGTATACAGGAACACAGTTATAAAACATGCTCGCATATCTTCCTGCCTCTCCGCCTACTCTTCTCGCCCCTCCCCCATAGCTCTTATAGCCACATCCTGCAAGGAAAAACCCCAGACCCCTGTGAAGGCAGAGCCCAGACAAGGATGTATGTGTGGGTTCAGCAGCCCACAGCACTTGTGCTCCTGGGACTCACATTTGGAGCTGCAGCCAGGCTCAACTGTGTTGAAGATACCTACCCTAGTGGTCACAGGTGCTGCCATGAGTGCCAGCCAGGTGAGTGACCCATGCAGGGTGGGGGAAGGATGATTCTTGGGGAACAATTATGGAGACGTAGGTGCAAACATCCTGGGAGTAAATGAATTCAAGCGATGTCACAGGTGATGCTCCATGGGTTTTGTCCCAGGCCTGAGACAGAGAGCCAACCAAGAGGCTGGTCCTATAGGGGCCAGGGTGCTGTGTCAGCCTGGGCCTTAACTGACCTGTTCGACTTTCTGGACTCCACTACAGGCAATGGTATGGTGAGCCGCTGTGATGACACCAGGGACACTGTATGCCACCCATGTGAACCTGGCTTCTACAACGAGGCAGTCAATTATGAAAACTGCAAGCAGTGTACACAGTGCAACCAACGTGAGCTCCTCCTACCCTGACTCACTGTCCAGCCCAGCAAGGAAGCGGCTATGGCAATGGGTGCCCATATTTCCCATATGATTGCAGAAGTATCTCCAAGCCATGATGAATCCTGTTCACTAAGGGGTCCTTAGTAGCCAGGGCATTTCTCAGGGTCACTTCTGTCTTCCGGGGTGAAGGCTCAGCCTGGGCCATATGGGGTAGAGCTCTTGTTGATCATGTGGCCTTGCCCAAGTTGTCCTAGTGGGTGAGGTCTTGGTGTGGAGTTTGAGAGTATCTGAGGGTTCTGATATTCTCCAAGGCTGGAGATGGGAGGTCACAAGTGCCCTATGCCAGCTCAGTAGCTGTCTCCAGGGCTTCATACCTAGGAGGAACACAGTAGCCAGGAAAGGTCTTAGGAGAGGAGAAGCCCAAAGTCAGACTGTACAATTCCCTTAGCTTCAACTTTGTTCCTGTGCCACTGAGGACAGGCAAGTCCATTTTGCCCTTTATGTCCGTAGGTCAGGGCTGGGTAAGCCTCATCCACAGTCTTTATCTGATCTTCCCTAGGAAGTGGGAGTGAGCTCAAGCAGAACTGTACACCTACTCAGGATACTGTCTGTCAATGCAGACCAGGCACCCAACCCCGGCAAGACAACAGCCACAAGCTTGGAGTTGGTGAGCCTCAGGGTGGCCCCCTACACCAGGCAGACCCATTATCTGTCCATGACCAGTGTGTGCGAAGTGGTCAGGATCCATGTGTGCTGGCCCCCTCCACGATAATGGTATAAATGAGTCACATTCCCATTTCATACAGTGTCACCTCCCCCAGAATCTCTCCATCTAGTCTTGGCCAAAAGCCATACCAAGACTTGGGTCAGGGGGAGGCATGTGGGAAGGAAGGAGCTTGTAAAAGCCAAGCTTCCTGTCCACTTGCACCAGAGAGTGAGCATTAACCCTCCCTAAAGGCCCCGCCACCAACAGCTTCAGCATCCAGGGCCCACCTAACAGCATCAGAAAACTGACATGTCTTTGCTGCAGACTGTGTTCCCTGCCCTCCTGGCCACTTTTCTCCAGGCAACAACCAGGCCTGTAAGCCCTGGACCAAGTAAGTATTGTGGCTGGCTGGAACACTAAGGACTGGGGGTGTAGAAGAAATGAAACCAGAAATGTTTGGGCATCTAAGAGCTGGTGTCTAGATGATTATGTGATGAACCAGTTCAGAGAACAGAAGTTCATGGGCCAGAGGATCTTCTGACATCTTCCCTTCAACACAGCCCTTGTGGGGATCCCTGCAAGTGGAGGGCGAGTATGTGAGACCCTAGACCAGGCTGTAGGAATATGTTTGCTCTTAAGTTGTGGTTCTTCTCCAGGGGGTTGGAGGAAGTATAGGGTAGATTTTGAGAGTGTAGAACCTGACCTAGGAGCCAGATAGGGGGAGGACAGAAACAGAGATAGGTATGTGGCTTGGGGGTAGAGGTCTTGGCAGAGTTAAAGATGACGCAATGCAACTTCCACCATCACTGTCTCTAGCTAATGGCCACCCTCATCCCACAGTTGTACCTTATCTGGGAAGCAGACCCGGCACCCAGCCAGTGCCAGTTTGGACACAGTCTGTGAAGACAGAAGCCTCCCAGCCACACTGCTTTGGGAGACCCAGGGCCCTACGTTCAGGCAGACCACTGTCCAATCTACCACACTCTTGCCCAGGACTTCTCAGTCGCCTTCTACACCCACCCTGGTGACTCCTAGGGGTAAGAGGCTCTGGCCCAGTAGAAAATAGGGGAGAGAAGGTGAGGGTGAGTAAGTTCACTCAATTAGCCTCTCCTCATAGGCCCTGCATTTGCTGGTTTCCTAGGCCTAGGCTTGGGCCTAGGCCTGCTGGCTCCCCTGACTATTCTGCTGGCCTTGTACCTGCTCCGAAGGGCTTGGAGATTGCCCGATACTCGCAAACCCTATTGTGAGTACCCACTGTGGGCTTGATAAAGCTAACTTCCTAGAGGGATGAGCTATATCTCCTCACCGCTTTTTCCTTCTTTGCTTCTCCTAGGGGGAAACAGCTTCAGGATCCCTATCCAGGAGGAACAGGCTGACACACACTTTACTCTGGCCAAGATCTGAACAGTACCTCAGGAGTGGGTTTTATGGAGCATGGGTAACCCATGTCCTGGTGCCTGCCAGTACCATCCACACCGTTCTAGGTGCTGGGCTGGCTCTGGGCTCTCCTATGTATGCTATGCATACTACCTGCCTGGTGGTACCACCAATAAACACACTAGCAACTGTGAGTCTGTGACTGGCACTGAGGGACTGTGGTCGCATCCTCTACTGTTTGGGGAGAGTCTATACTTAGTCATATGTACTCCAGTTTGAATAAGGATATGGAGTATAGGCCTGAAATGCTGAAGGGTACCAGAGGAGCCAACCAGCAGCTTTATGAACAGTGGTTCACAACCTTCCTAATGCTTTGACCCTTTAATGTAGTTCCTCATGTTGTAATGACCCCCAACCATGAAATTATTTTTGTTGCTTTATAACTGTAATTTTGTAATTGATATGAACTATAATGTAAATAATTTTGGAGATAGAGGTTCACCAAAGGGGTCATAACTCACAGGTTGAGAACCACTACTCTAAGGAGACTTAAGAGTCTTGGTCAAAAGGGAAAGGCCCTGGCAAACAGAGCCTGAGTATCCTGATCACCAGAGGGGCTCGTGATCCATTATGCCCCCTTTGACCTCTGTGGCTCAGGCAGCTAACCTGAGTTATCCTTTCTCTCCGGCCACATAAATGGTGAGAAATGTTTGATGGTCCTTAGGCACCAGCTAGGTACTACCTTGGGAATCTCTAGATGTGGATGGCCATGGATCCATGTAGCAGCCAATCATCCAGCTGTATTGGAAGATTGAAGGCTGCTACCTGAGCCAAATCTCATCTGTCTTGAGATCATTTAGAAACAAGTGTCCTTTGACAAGAACAGAGACACTTTATCTAAACAAGACTTCAGGTCTCATTGCTGCCCTCTACCACAAGGGGTTCTAGGAGCAGCATCTGGGAATGGCAGGAAGCACAGGTAACCAGGAAGCTCAATGAATTAAAGGCAGAAGGTGCCAAGCTGCTCATGGAGAGAGTCAAGCGGTTATGCCTGATCATGCAAACAGAGAGCCCAGACTGGTGTCATGTAGATGGCCAAGCTTGGTGGCATATACCTTTAATTCCAACACTGAGAAGGCAGAGGCAGGAGGATCTCTGTGAGTTTGAGGGCAACCTGATCCACATAGCGAGTTCCAGGTTGGTCAGGGCTACATAGTGAGACCCTTCCTCAAACGAACAAAGACCCTCAAAACAAAACAAAAGAGTCACTAGACATTCTGGTGTGGGGGTGGTGCTGGGCTGTGTCAGCTGCACTGAGGAGGCATAGGAAACATAAGAAGCTATGAAGATGGCTGTTTCCTTCCTCTTGCCACCCTGAGGACACTGGCCTGGCAAAGTACCACCTCTTACCCCTCCCATCTTTTACTTGGGCTGCCTGTGGACAGATAAGATTTTTTTTTTTTTTTTTTCTGAGACAGGGTTTCTCTGTAGCCCTGGCTGTCTTAGAACTCACTCTGTGGATCAAGCTGGCCTTGAACTCAAAGATTTGCCTGTTTCTGCCTCCCAAGTGCTGGGACTCAAGGCATACCACTAGGCCAAATATGATTATCTTAATTTGCATGCTGGGATATCCTATTACTTATAGCCTAAGTCACTGTGGCCCACATGGGGTGGCTGGACAAAACTATCTCTGATCCTGGTTTCCCTCCCATCTCTTTCTTTTCATTTTCTGACAAAATCCAGCTGGCTACAACCAAAAGAAACGCCCACTGAACTACTAAATTCCCTTCTTTGGGTGCCTATGTGCAACCACACCTTAAGCCTGGGGATGGAGTTATAGATCACAATTGGTAACCCCCACTCCTTAGGGAAATCCATGCCTAGAGGCCAACAGGAGGCTAGAGAGTTGGAAGGAGAATGCTGTGGGGCTTGGGAGGTTAGAGATGGGAGGAAAGAGGGTTTATTCCCACGCTGGGCAGTTCATACCTTTGTCTCCTCTTTACTTGGCACAGGTCTCCATCTTCCTGCTGTTTCCTGTCATTTGGGGGCTCCTTGGGCCCCTTCCCAGATACCCATGGCCCCACCTGCAAAAACGTTGGGTTTATTTTTTTCTTCATTCTGGTGCTGTCCCAAAGTACATTCTCTATCCCCCTCATCTCAAAAACTCCCTAACTACCTCTTCTGAGGCCCTGCGTCAGCCTGGGAATTCCCCATAGGTTCAAACTGCCAGGACCCTCTGTGGCTTGGAACATACCCACCAAGTCCTGTAAAACAAAACCACATGGAAATACAAGGAGCTGCTCATAAAATAAAGGTGATAGCAGCAAGCAGATAAAAATCACCTCTGCCCACCACCAAGTTATGGAAGCTGCTCATGCTCGGGAGTCTCTTGCAGGGTATCCAGAAGGGGTAGGACAGGAAGTCTGACATAGGTGCTGACATTTACTGATGTCATCTGCTTGAAAACTTCTCCCCAGGTATATGACCTGTGTCATTTGATCTTTGTGGTCTGTGTGTGGTTGGCAAAAGAGCACTGTGTCTCCTGGAAAGAACCTCTATGGAGCTCACTAACAGCTTGTAGCCTTGCAAGTTTATATCAAGCAGACCTTGCCCTTGACTGAGCTCAGACACAACACCAAGGCCGAAATCCCCATGGGACTTGCATGGCAGTGTTTTAGGGGTGAGTCAATGCTTTGTTATCGCTCCCCTGTGGAAGAGGCCATTGCCTAGAGAACAGGGGTCCCCAATGTGAGGATATCATGGCTGGCAGAAGACACCACGTGTATACTGTGAGCTCACCAGGGTTGGGGTGATACTATGAAGGCATGGTCCTGACTGACCTCTTAGGTTTTTATTAGTTTGTTTATTTGTTTAAGACATGATCTCTCTCCATAATTCTGGTTGTCCTGGAACTCACTCTGTAGACAAGACTGGCCTCGAACTTATATATATCCACCCACCTCTTCCTCACAAGTGCTATGAATAAAGGTGTGCACCACTATGTCCAGCCACAAATATCGAACGCTTTACAAGTTTTTGTGTCATCCTTGTACAGGGGCCATGTTAATCTTTGCATTATTCCAGTTTTTTTTTTTTTAAATATCTGCTACCAAAGTGAGCACCACTAAATTTTTTTTTTTTAATAGTTAGGAACATAGCCAATACTGCCCTCAACACCTTATGTAGAGTCAGGTACATGGTTTTACTTCTGCCCTTGTACTCAGACCCACCTCCCTGTCCAGGAGCTCTTTGTTTCTCAAAGAAGAGGTTCTGCTGAGGTTGGCCTAGAGTGGAGTAGAGCCCCCTCCCTACCCTGCAGTGACCAGGGCTGCCTCTTAGGAGACTTACACACCTGAGGCCAGAGAATAACAGGTAACTTCTGACATTTCCTACTTCCTCATCCTCCTCCAGTGGTAACTTAAAAGAGTGTCAGGCCAGGTTTCCTAGGGTTTCCACAATTGCAATGGTCTTCACACCTCCCACTTGTGGATACAACCACAGTTATATCCTGAGATGCCCATGCTCACCCCTATACTCCCAAAAGTCCTCACCATGTTTCCCTGTACTTAACTTCAGCTGGAAGATGTGGGGAAAGTAAGGCTCAAAAATCCAGAGAGGCGCTGGGTGGTGGTGGCACACACCTTTAACTCCAGCACTTGGGAGGCAGAGGCAGAGGCAGATAGATCTCTGTGAGTTCGAGATCAGCCTGATCTACAAGAGCTAGTTCCAGGACAGACTCCAAAGCTACACAGAGAAACCCTGTCTCAAAGAACCAAACAAAAACCAAACAAACAGCAAAACAAGACAAAACCAGAGAGGCTAGTGACCACATGGAGAAACTGAGGTTCAGAAAGATAGGATGGTCTCACCATGAGGAGGAGGTCTGAAGGGCTCCTGTCAGGAACTCCCTTCCCATTGTTTAGAATTGTGAGAGGAGGTGAACAAAAGTGGCTCCAGAGATCCAAAGTGGAACTGCCAGGGCTGGATCTGGGCAGGCCATACTGCCCTTGGCTTCATGTGCCTGCTAGGAATGCCCAGTTTATGATGACCTTCTCTGAAAGGCAATGGTATATGCTCTGGACTCCCCTCACTGGCTCTCCTAGTTTCTCAAGCCAGGAAGCTTCTCTGGAAAGGGGGAATTTCATGCAACAACGAAGGGAGTGGCGGCAGCAGCATGTGCGAATAGGGGACCCTTTTCCTCTGCAGTCTAGCCAGGGTGGGTATGCTGGAGTTGGGAGGGGCTTGTTGGGGTTCAGGAGATGTCAAGGAAGATGAGATAGCTTTGTTGCATACTTTACAGAAGGCTGTTACAAGCACCACAAGTCTGCCCCTGCCGGAAGATGGAGGTGGAGCCTGGCCTGTAACCCAACTGAGGGGTGGGGGCAGGGGCAGGGGCGGGACAAGGCACGCTGGAGCAGGTTGGGGACTGCTAAAAATCAGCCAACAGGAAGAAGACTCGGGAGAAGCAATATGAGAGTGTGGGCCATGCTGTGTGGGGTCTCACTTGTTTGTATGCTGGACCTAGGTCAGCAGAGCCTGGCTGAGGAGCCTAGCTGTGGCCCCAGAAGCTTCCAGCGTGGGACTGGCACCAATGCACGCTGCTGCAACCTGTGTGCTCCAGGTAGGACAGGGAGGGGGGTGGGAGCCAGGATGTGCAGCACTCACACAAGGAGGGTGGGCATAGGGCACATATGAGTGGGAAGGCAAACTTTCCATGTCTAGAGCCTTGAGTCTGGAACTGAGAAGGAGGTAGAGGTCCATCTGACCCAGTTGTTCAAGATCAGAAGTATGGGAGCAGGAGCAACAGGGCTGGAAACTTCTTCCTTAAGAGAGATCTGGGGTCCAAGGCCCATGTCTCTGTGATAGAGATGTGGACAGCAGTGAAGACAGCTGCTGAGGTGTTCCTATTGCCCTGAGGGACAATATAGGGTAGGAATGAGGCAGCACGGGCCCAGGGACCTTAGGAAGCCCCAGGTGACTCCCATATTTAATAGAACTTGTGAAGCCATGGCTTCAGAGCAGTAGGAGGTTTATGTATTAGCAGGCAGCCATCTCAGATGGAACACTGAGCTGGAAAAAGCCTAGGGCCTTGTACTGGGATTGATTAAGGATGGAAGCCTCGCACCCTAACCACTTGAAGGACCAGTAGGAGCTCTGAAGAGGGAAAGGAGGCTCTGCCTAATTGCTGAGGTGCTTATTCTTGCCAAGACAAGGAGGCCTGTCCTGAAGGAGACTGTATATGTGTCATGCCGGAGTACCACTGTGAAGACCCTCAGTGCAAGACCTGCAAACACCACCCCTGCCAACCAGGCCAGAAGGTGCAGCCTCATGGTATGTCCCTGGGAGACTGCTGAAGGCCACAGATGTCCCCAAGCTATCCATGAGTTTAGCCTAGAGTCAAACTGGTATAGATGCCTTGTGAGCATGTGTAGGCATGTAAGAATGCTTGCACATAGGGCTCATGGGCATATCCTCTGGGTAGGCAGGGACCTGCATTCTAGATTCTAGAAGGGATAGGTGGGCCAATTGGTCCAGGATACCTGAGCCATTCTTCCTATTAACCTGGGATTCTCTATCATAATGAGGGTACTGATGTCTTCTCAAGGTTGGTGAGAGGCCATGGGGACTGCCTGTGTGCTGGTCTGCTCTCAGGTTGTTACTCTGAATATGGCCAGGCCTTGTCACCAATCCTATCCATCTTCAGAGGGACTGATGTGTCATTTTAGTCCTGGAATAGACATTAGACCTGGTGGACTGATAGACCCTAGTCTGACTCCTTCCTCTGTAACCTCAGTAGAACCTATAGTCTGTCTGTCTATCCACAGGGAATATTAAGTTTGGCTTCGAGTGTGTTGACTGTGCCATGGGCACCTTCTCCGCAGGTCGTGAGGGCCACTGCAGACCTTGGGCCGAGTAAGTCCTAAATGAGTAGGCTAGGCCCATTCTGAGGAAGCCTATCCCCCTCCCTTCCTTGTAGCAACCCCCGAGGGCCCCCATTCATCTCCCAAACAGCTCAGAGGACAACAGTCCTTCTAGTGTGGCTGCTTGGGTAACCAAGCCTGACGGTGTCTGTGTCTGTGTCCTAGCTGTGCCCAGTTTGGATTTCTCACCATGTTCCCCGGGAACAAGACTCACAATGCCGTGTGCATTCCGGAGCCACTGCCCACTGAGCAACATGGCCATTTGGCTGTCATCTTCCTGGCCATGGCTGCCTGTATTCTCTTCCTAACCATAGCCCAGCTCTGCCTGCAAATATGGCAGCTAAGGAGGCAGCACATGTGTCCCCGAGGTCAGTTGTGTCCCTGGGAAGGGGAAACGTGTCTCAGGCTACTTGCTGACCATATTTTTACTACAGAGACCCAGCCACTCTTGGAGGTGCAGCTACCACCAGCCGATGATGCTTGCAGCTTCCAGTTCCCTGAGGAGGAGCGTGGGGAGCAAATGGAGGAAAAGAGTCATCTGGGAGACCAGTGGCCATGAGGGTTGTTCTTCCTCTGTACCCCAAGCCAGACCCTCTAAGACTTGCCCAGACCTACCCTTGGTGAGAGCAAGGGCTCAACTGTGCATCTTTCCCTGGGCCTGGCCCTGCTCCCCTCGATGGCAGAAGTGGGTTTAAGATGTGGATTGATGGTCATAAATTACAACTGGGTGTAAAAAGAGTAGTGACTACAACTGGGCCCTCTGGCTGCCTTCCTCTTTTTCCAGCTCTGTTGGAGTAGGATCTTTAAGCTCCGAGAGAACACTAAGTGTTCAGTACAAGACCTTGTACAAGTGCTTTTCAATAAATACTTGTCTAGTTAACCTGAGTGGCTGTGTTCTAGGGACAGAGAAAAACAATGTGCCCAGGCTTGCATTCAAGGACACTTTCTGTCATCCTATGCCTATGGTCAATTCCAGGGTATAAAACAGAGAGGACAGTCTGGTGAAATATCTTAGCAGGCAAACGCTCCTGCCTCTAAGCCTGATGACCTGAATTTGATCCCTGGGAGCCATATGACAGAAAGAGACACTATTAATCCTGACAAGCTGTCTCTGTCACATGTATGCTATGGCACATGCCTGCACATGTACATATAAGTACACATGACTGTAAGAATAAAAATGTAATTAAAAACTTGAATAATTTTAAAAGGAGGGGGCATCTGAAGCCTATCCTCAGCAGTCTCTCTTGGTGGTAGTGGTGGGGGCACAAGTCAAATCTTGGTGACAAACCCTCAGTAAGGACCATCAGGCTAAGGAGGCAGCTTTTGGAAGGTGATAATCTATACTGAATACCAGCCTTCTTTGCCTCATCTTTAATATTTGTGTATTTATTCCTTCGTAAGTTTCTGTGCATCATGTGTAACTCTCTGGAGCAGGGGTCATTGATAGTTGTGAGCTGCCATGTAAGGGCTGGGACCTGAACCCAGGTCTTCTGAGACAGCAGCAAGTGCTGAGCCAGCTCTCTAATCCCTCTCTTGACTTCTTGTTCAAACCACTTCCCCTACCCTCAGCCTGGTCCATATTAGGCAGCCATATACTGAGCCTGTATCTTTGAGCTACTGCCCTTTGAATGCACTTTGGGATGCCTGTGGAGGCTGAGTTTTGATGGCACTTTAGTGTAATGGGTATGGTTTTTTCTCCTGCTGCCAGTCTTGTCCCGCCGCCGCCTGCCCCAATTAACACACAGAGACTCTGTATTTGATATAATCCTGTTGGCCTGTTACTAGTTTCTTATTGGCTAGCTCTATCTTAATTATTAACCCATTTCTATGTATTTCCATGTGGTCTTCCCGAGAGCGGAGGAATGGCGGTTCTGTTCTCTCCAGACTCTCCATCTTGACCCTTACTTACTACTTCCTATTTTCTCTTTATCTCCTAGCCCCTCCTATCTTCCTTTCCTATTGGCCAACAGTGCTTTATTCATTAACCAGCATGAGAAACATTTACAGAATGACCTCTCCCATCACTTTAGGGCATTTGCCTTGGCCTAACTGCTTAAAACTCAGGCTTTTGCCAGTTTCCATACTGAGCGCTCTCCAGCATGAGGAAAATTCTCTGAAGTACATAATTTTGGCTCTGAGGCACTCCCAGCAAAGCATCTTTCCTGCCTGTTGGTAGTTATAGAGGCTGCTCATAGAAAGATCCAACAAGAGCAGGATGCAGTGCTGCATGCCTTTAATCCCAGCACTCAGGAGGCAGAGGTGGGTGGATCTAGGGAGTTTGAGGCCAGCCTGGTCTACAGAGTGAGTTCCAGCATAGCCAGAGCTACATAGTGAGACTTTATCACAAAGAAAAAAAATCAGTAAGGTCATCTTGGCATGGGTGTCCAGGGAGAGGCAGACCCGAGCACCCTTAAGGCATCTGCCCATCTGGGCACTTACTTGCTCAGCTCACCCTCCCCTTAGTGTCTCCTGTCTCATTATTTCATAGCAGGTAAATGGGATTGAGGGAAGGATCTACCACTTTTGGTGCTCACAGTCCCATCAACACCTAGCCGCCTGGGAGAGACTGAAGGTGGAGATGGAAAAATTGCCATGGAAGTGGAGGACATAAGGATCAGACACAAAAATTGCTCAGGGCCACATGAACTCCCTTGGAGATGTACGAGCACCCTCATTGCCTGGAGCTGCCTCTTCTGTCACCGATTGGGTGGGTGAGGAGTCAGGCACAAGCTGCAAAGTCCAGAGTCAGTTTGGAAAGGGAGGTGAGATCTGGGGGCATCTCCCAGCTTGCCTATCACACCACACCCCTAGGTTGTAAGCAGTCCTGCCTTCCACTGGAACTCCCACAGGTGGGACATCCCCAAATAGCATGACGTGTGCAGATACCCACAGGCTTTATCTGCTGGAAACTCCTCCTGTGGGTGACCGATGGGTGTGATACAGAGATGGTGGGAGATTCTGCAGGGTGGGGTGAGGGATGCTGTAGTACACACTGTACCCTTGCCCCACAGCCAGCAACACCCCAATCCCACTCATGTCCACCTCAGGGGCATAAGATGAGCTGCACCAGCCTGTTAGATCTGGGGATTTCCACTGAGAATTGTGAGCTGTGCAGGGTTTGTTCAGGTACCAAGGGCTGACAGCTTGAGGTCAAGTAGAGATAATGCCCATGACTGCAAGTAGTTGGGTGTGAAATCCAGGGGTGCTAAGAGTGTGCAGAACAGGACCTGCTGAAAAACACTTTGCTGCAGAGGCCTCCTGCCACCCTAACAGAGACAACTCCAGACCCTGCCTTTAGAGTAGAGACAGCGTTTGCCTACCTGCAGGGTCTGGTAGCCACAACAGCTAAGTGTATTTCTGTTTGGCCTAGACTAGCAGGAGGAAGGCCTCACAGCAATTCCCAGAAAACCCTACCCCACAGTGGCTGCTCTCCATTTCTTCCGGAAAACCACAGCACTCACTTACCTCTTCCCCTTGATTTCATTAAGTTTTTTTCAGTCTCAGATAAAGGCTCAGAGCCATCTCAGTTCCCAGAAATGCTTCCGGCCACAGCGGATGGCTCCTGCCCAGCCTCCACCCTCTCATCTGAGAGAATCTCTTCATTCAGTGTGGGGCATGCCCCAGCTTGACAGAAGGACTTGCATTATTCCAAGTGAGAGGTCTCTTCCTTTTTACAACCGGACAACCCCTCCCCCAACTTCAGGCTCCAGACAGCTGTCCAGAGGCCTTGCCGGGCAGGTGGGTAATGACTGTCCCTAGCTGCTGAGGTATGTTTCCACTGACCCTGTAGTATCTCAACCTCTATCTAGATCTTACTGTACTGGGATGGGCTCACACCTCGGGGACTGCCCCTTAGGCAGCCGCTAGCCCCCATGCAAAGCAGCTGAGAGGGTAGAGAAGGTAGACACTGGTCCCTCACCTACCCCATCTTCCCAAAAAGCTCTGAAGACCAGGCACTGCCTATTCTGGCCCCTTCTTGGATGGGGAGGGACTAGAGTAGGTTGGTATGTAGGATGTTCCACTATTGCTTGGCTGAAACTAAGGTGTTCAGAAAAACTCAGACCCTGACTGAGGGAGGGTACAGTGTGTTTGCGGTCAAGGTCTGCACTGGCTGCAGGGACAACGGGAGGTAGAGGGTGCTTGGGTCAGAGCTGTGAGCAGCTCAGTTTCCCACATCATCTGATGGTGAAGGAAATTCTTGATGCCCTTAACAGCAGGGCCTCAGGGTTCCCTCCTAGAATAGGGAAGGAGTGATTTAGAGGAGTGGGAGGACACATTCAGGTGTCAGGAGCCCTGTTCTTGGGTGACCAAGCCCAATGGCAATCAGTTGCTTTATAGGGTCAGCCCAGTCTTGATGTCATCATTCAGCTCCTTAAACCCTGGTCCTGTCACATTATTTGAATAGTAGAGAATGCCTTGAATCTGCCAGGTGGCCAGATGCTCCACAGACCCCACCCACACCCCCCATCCCTTCCCCACCCCAGTTCTATGAGCTCCTAAACTCAGGGCTCTGAGGGACTTCCATGTGGGAGGACCTGGAGGGGGGTTGATGGGGCCATCACTCATCACTCCTGTGGGATGAGCGAGCAGCAGGTCTTTGGACCTTTTTATTCATTGACAGCCAAAGCCCCTGGGGAGCCTGTGATTGGCAGAGTAGGATAGGCTACTACCAACAAGTATTTGTTACATCAAGGTCTCAGTAGAGGCTCCATGTCCCCACAACCAGCAGTCAAAGCATCTCCCTCCTGAGAACTTTGCCACCTCTGGTGACAGGAGACACCCCTGGCGAGGAGGGAGGGGCGCTGCACAGGGCTGCAACTCCATGTGGCACTTGAGAGCAGAAATATTTATGACACTAGCAATGCCATCAAGGGACACAGCTCTGACTTGATCAGGCAGCTGTGAGGAGGGGGAGAGGCTATGGGGAACAGCACTTGGAGATAGCACAAGTTGAGAATGTAGTGATGGGTATAGTACCATGGATGCCAGCAAAACATGTGACCCTGATCCCAGCAACAGGTGTGGATTCACTAAGACCTAGGCACTTAGGCTCTGGGGAAACTGGTCTTCATTTTCCTATTTTAGTGGGCGCCAGAGCAGATAGGCCGGAGACCCACCGATAGGGACAGGCTCTTTCCTAGACTGCTACAGGAGACACTGAACTTGGTCACATAAGGATGAGATTGTACCTCATGCTCTAGGCTACAGTGGGAAGACTGGATTTGGACCAGAGTAGGCTAGAACATCGGGGATGGAGCGGGCACTCTGAATATAGAAGAGTTGTGGGGGGAGTGGAGGGATACAGGATGCTCATGAGCTAAAGTAGGGTCTCCATGATCATTTCCTCTGGTACCTGAGGGCCTCACTTTACCTCTCTGAGCCTCAATCGCTCTGCTGTTACGGGTTCCTGGAATGGAATCTCCCTGTATGCTGGCCACAGCAACAGCAGTTGACAGAGTTCTCTACTGGTGGCCAGGCCATTGCAATGTAGACATTGTGCCACAGTTTAGACTACTACTGAGCAAGGTGGGTTTCTTTACCTCCTGAGGGATTTTGCTTCAATAAAGAACAGTGTGGTCTGGCACTTCTCTCACATGTGATGGAGCTAGGCCTGATGTTTGGGACCAATTAGAGGTCAGAAGGAAGGGCAAGGAAGAGGAATCTGCCACCTTGGCTGTGCAATTGTTCTAAATGTTGGTGGGAGGTCTTCGGAGTTTTATAGAGTGGTTTAACTTGAGGGGACAGGGATTGGCGGGAAGGACTTACAGGGTCCTGACCACTTTGGTGTAAGATGTGGTCAGAGTTCTCCTTTCAAACCTGGATACTAACTAGGAGCCTGGATATGGGGGAGAGGGACGCAATAGTCACTAATGCCAGCTTAGTGTTATCCTTCCTGGGAACTGCCTGTCTTGGCAACTCCTCCATGCCTCTCTCATCCCTGACAAACTCCAGGGCCTTTGCAGGGAAGCAGGGACTGTAAGTTGTGGAGAGTGTTCCACATAGTGTATGAAAGACCAGAAGATGTTGGGCAAGATGAGAATGAACCCCAGCACTGCATCAGAATAGTAATGGGGTAGGGTAGGGCCTTCCAGAGAGTTCCATGAGTATCCAAGACCTTTTCCTGGGGACTCCACAGAACAGTGGGTGAGTCCCAATGCCAGGCTGCATTGAGGTCATGAAAGCCGTGGAGTTTCAGGAGGATCCTACAGGATTAGTAACAGCCCCAAGTGGGAACTTTGGATTTGGTGGCCTGCCCCATAGAAGGAAAAACAGGTCAGCGGGAGTTTTTCCCTTCCTGGAGGGTGCACTTCCATTCTCCATGCAGCTCCCTCTCCTTCCCCTAAGAACAAGCAAGGATCAAAGAGAGGAAGGGGACAGAAGGGCTTGGGGAGCCCAGGTGGGACCCGCTGCTGGAGGCTGCGTTTGTCACAAAGTAGCTTTTTATAGGTCCTGGAGAGGGCACGGCCGCTAGCAGGGTCGCTGGATGCTTATGGCGGCTAGGAGCCCCGGTGACTCGCGCTCCTTTGTTCCTCCTCGCGCTCTTCCTCGGACGGCCCCAGGGAGGGCTCCCCAGCCGTGTCCCTGCTGCTTTCTGGGGACCCAGAGCAGAGAGAGGGCTCGGACTCGGCTCGGAATCCTCCGCTGGAATCAGGCAGCCGCGATTTGCGGAAGCTGCAGGTGCAAGCGTCCCTGGAATGCACCAGTTTGCGTGCTCCAGTCCTGTCTGTGGTTGCACGTGGTGAGGACAGCGCAGAGGATGCGAACTCACAGGTGGGCCGGGGAGGTGGCGGTGGAGGCAGGCGGGCAAAGGGGCGCGAGCCCCCCATGCGCGGCCACAGGTCCGTAGTCTCGCCGTTGTAAAGGAGCACAAAGCGACGCTGTGACAGCAGAGGGAGCATCTTCTGACTATGCAAGCTCTTTTGACAGGTCTCAAGAGCTAGATCTGCAGGGAGGCAGAGGAGTGACAAGGTGAATGAAAAGAGGACGTTTTGGAGCAGGGCAACTTCTCCAGCATGTCTGGAAACAGGAAGGAAAGGGTTTGGAGAGGAATTGGATGTAGGTGTGTCAGGTGACAGAGAAGTTGGAGCAGAGAGAGGGCTTGGCTGCCATGCAGATTATGGGGTGTTGGAAAACCAGACTTGTGGAGTCTGAACTTGGAGGCAAGTAGAATGGGGTATCCAGAAAGAAACACATGAGAAAATTGTGACATGGGGCTGTCCAGAGCTCACCCAAAGTCTCCATAACCACTCCAGGGATCACCTCCTTCAGGACTTCACAATTGGTATGTAAGGCAGGGTTGGAGTTCATTTCCAGCAGCCACACCTATGGCAGACAGTGGTCAACATCTCTTTCCACCTACAGCCCAGTTGGCCAGTAAGAAGCTGGAACTCTGGTCCCTATCAAGCTATGCGATTCTGGGCAGATTGTATCTCTCTAGAGCTTTGCTCCCCATGTTTGCTCGAGGAGTTAAGACGGCTCTTGGGGGCTGCTCAGTTCCAGTAGGAGATGAGCTCTATGAACACATCCGACCTTAGGGCTGAGTCTACCCATTGGGCCTGCTTATGTGGTCAATGTACAGATGGGCCCTACCTCCTTGTACCAGCCTACCAGACCTCATCTTCCCAAGACAGCACCTTGAAGTTCTCATCAATCAGGAAATCACAGCCAATGAGATCAAAGTAACCCAGCTTGCACTCCAGCTTGGACTTGACAGCCAGGAAGCAGTGGGCCATGATCTGCTGCATCCGTTTCTGTGGGTGAAGAAGGGAGGGACCCCGGCTGTGGCCTGTTGGTCCAGATGAAATCTCCTAGGCCTGAGCAATCAATCACACCTCTCCCCTGAACTCTAACACCCTCACCCGAATAGCTGTAACTGCCCACACTTTCACATGCTCAGAGACACAGGCTCACAGTCAGGAACTCATTCAACAAAATCATAGGGCTTCTACTGTGAGGCAGGTACTAGGAGATACAAAAGTGAAGAAAATTAGAACCCACAGAGAGGGACAGATAACTAGAACAGATAAAATCCTGGTAGTTCGACCTCAGGGGCCCACATAGTGGAACCAGAAGTGACTCCCATATGTTGTCCTTTGACCTCTACAAATGTGTCATGCTATGTGTACCCCTTAATATACTTTAAAAATGGAATTAAGATTTTTAGATGAGCTGTGGTGGCACATGCCTTTAATGCCAGCACTTGGAAGGCAGAGGCAGGTGGATCTTTATGAGTTTGAGGCCAGCCTGGTCTACAGAGTGATTGCCAGGACAGCCAAGGCTACCCAGAGGAACCCTGTCTGGGAAAACAAAACACTTTTTTTTTTTTTTTAACAGAGGTAAAAAGTAAAAAAATAGGAATGGACTAGAATTTCTGGAGTAGAAAAATGCAGTGTCTACAATTCTTTAGAAAGATAAGGAAAGGAAAAAAGGAAGGAAAGAAAAGAAGAAAAAGCATAGACATTGGAGCTTAAGAGATGGCTCAGTGGTTAGGAATGCTTGCTTTGCTCCTTCCAGAGGACCTGGGTTCAATTTCTAGCACCTGCATAACAGCATGCAGCCATCTGTAACCCCAGTTCTGCCAGCATCAGGCGGGCACTTGATATACAGACATACTTGCAGGCAAAACATCCATACACATTATACATATGTATTGGTTTTTTTGAGACAAGGTTTCTCTATTTAATAGCTCTTGCTGTCCTGGAACTCGCTCTGTAGAGGAGATCCACCTGCCTCTGCCTCCCAAAAACTGGAATTAAAGGCGAATGCCAGCATCGCCCAGCATAAATATGTATGTGTGTGTGTGTGTGTGTGTGTGTGTGTGTGTGTGTGTGTGTGTACATCAGGCAGTTCATAATCTTTTCCAACTATAGTTCCAAGGAATCCAAAGTCTTCTTCTGGCCTCTGTGAGTACCAGGCACATACATGGTGCCCATACATACATGCAGGCACTCAAACACATAAAAAAAAATTAAATCTCTTTTTTTAATGGAGAAATTATGACATTCCCACATAAGGCCAGGTATAGTGATGCACGCCTTTAATCCCAGCACTCAAGAGGCAGAGGCAGGCAGATCTTTGTGAGTTGAGGCTAGTCTGGTCTACATGGTGAGACCCAGTCTCAAAAACAAAGACATTTCCACATAAGGAAAAACAGAGGTATGCTTGTCCTGTAGTCCTTCCAACAGTAACTAGAACTCATATGAAGAAATAAAACAAAGAACCTAGTAGAGGTGACTATGTTAAATATAAAGCATCATGTGAGCCGGGTGGTAGGGACATATGCCTTTAATCCCAGTGCTTCGAAGGCAGATGCAGAGGCAGGTGGGTCTCTGAGTTTGAGGCCAGCCTGGTCTATAGAGGGAATTCTGGGACAGCCAAGGAAACAATGTCTCAAAAACAAAAAACAAAACAAAACAAAAAAAAAAAAAAAAAAACAAAAATAAATAAAATTAAAATAAAAAGAGTATATCTGAATACAACAAATCTAAAGTTACAAATGTGTAGAGCTGTGGTTTATTGCAATAACAGAACAATAGAGAATAGAGTATATTATAGAAAGTGTTTTTTCTATGCTATTGAAATTAACTTTATGTTTATCCTGAACTAACTTTATGTTAGTTTGAACTAAATATTAATGGTAATTCCAAATAGACCCATTAAGAAGACAATAAAATTACAATTAAAATGACATTCTAGAAAACATATATCTGCCATATTAAGAGGTAGTGGTTGAGGAAGTAAAAAACAAAAGGCATATAAGACACATAAAAATGGCTACAGAAGGTGGTGGCACACACCTTTAATCCCAGCACTCAGGAGGCAGAGGCAGAGGCAGGTGGGTCTCTGAGTGTGAGGCCAGCCTGGTCCACAGACCTTTACAAAACCTAATGAACAGTGGGTTATATGATCTTTTCTAATGCTCAGGAACATGTGTGTGCATATGTGCCTGACTGTGTGTCATGGTGTGAATGTGCAGTGTGTGCGGTATATGCATGTGTGTATAAGTGCACACCTGTGCACATGCTTCCAGAGAGCAGAGCTGGAACCTAGCATGTCTTCCTGCCCTGAGACAAGTTTCTCACTGAACTAGAATCTCACCTTTCAGCTAGGCTGGCTAGCCAGAAAGCTCTTAGGATCTACCTGTGTCCACTCTTCAGAACTGGGTTTACAGGCATGCACAGTCACATACGGATGTTGGAGACTTGAACTTACGCTTGGAAATAAAGTGCTCTTAACTGCAGATCTATTTCCTCAGCCTCCAAAGAACACTTTTAAAATACAGCACATATTGGGATAAAAAAACTTTTCATTCATTAATGTTTTGTGTAGTAGGTTGGAACCCAAAGCATGTGCATGCTAGGCAAATGCTCTACCGCCGAGCATAACCCTAACCCTCAACATTTTGTTTTGCTTGAGCCAGGATTTCATATAGACAAAGTTATCTTTGAATTTGATGTGTAGCTGAATATGATGCTGAGCTCCTGATACTCCTGCCTCCGCCTCCCAAATGGTAGGATTACAGGCATCGTGCTATCCCACCAGACTCCTGGCTTTTTCTTTCTTCCTTCCTTCCTTCCTTCCTTCCTTCCTTCCTTCCTTCCTTCCTTCCTCTTCCTTCTTTCTTCCTTCCTTCCTTCCTTCCTTTCTTCCTCTTTCTTTTTTCTTTCTATCTTTATCTTCTTTCTCTCTTTCCTTCCACCTTTCTTTCTTCCTTTCTTCTCTTCGTTCTCTCCTCCCCTCCTTCCCCACCCTCCCCAGTAGACCTCACCATGTAACTTTTATTGGTCTGAAACTATATAGACCAGACTGGCTTTGAACTCACAAAGATGTTTGCCTCTGCCTCCCATGTGTTGGGATTAAAGGTGTGCACCACCATGCCCAGTGTAGTAAAATGAGTTTAAGGAAACACTGTAAATATATGTATACCACACATTATATAACTAAGGAAACTGAAAAAATCCCTAGGAAAAACTAACTAAATAGAAAAATATAAAAAGACAAACAAACAAGAATAACAAAATAAAAAAAATTTTTTTTGTTTGTTTTTTGAGACAGAGTTTCTCTGTGTAGTCCTGGCTGACCCGGAACTCGCTCTCTATACCAGGCTAACCGCGTTCTCACAGAGATCCACCAGTCTCTGCCTTCCTAGGACTGGGATCAAAGGCATGTGTCACCACCACTGGGCTTGAATAGAAAATCTTAATAGACATCAACCAAACAAGATTTGGGGGTGGTAGTAAGGCAGTGTTAATGACAAATCTTCCCACAAAGGAAAGTTCAGGATGTTTTACAGGATGTGTCAATTTTTTTGTTTTTGTTTTTCTCATTGTAACAAATGCCTTCCAGAATTTCCTTCAAAGAGTAAAGATTTTTGTTTTACAGTTTCAGAGGTTTCCATCTACAGTTTCTCAAATTTGAGCAGGGCAGACTATCATAGGAGTGAGATAATGTGGCACAGCCTGTTCACCTCATGTATCAATTTAAACACAGACCTCAAACCTCTAAAACTATGAGCCAGATTATAATGTCAAGACGTTTTCTATGTAAAAGGGAGATGATACATTTCATAACAAAATTATATAAAATACTAAATAGAAAAGCTATAGGTTGGCTTTACTTATGAGCACAGATACAAAAAAATTAAAATACAAAAAAAATCAAACTCAGAAGCATATTTAAATTACTTATATACTACCACTTGGGATTTATTCCAGAAATGTAAAAGTAGTGAAAGTTAATCAATGCAATGCACATGAATAGAATGAAGGAAAAACAACACATGATTGTCTTATTCAGTATAGGAACCTCAGCATCCTACCCTAAAAAATACTTAGTAAACCAGGGAGAGAATTTGTCAGCCTTTCCTTCATATCAGAAGAAATACAAGGATGTTGACTTTGGCCTCTTCAACATGATATTGAAAATTACACCTGGAACAATTAGGCATGGATGGCTTCAGCACTACACATGCTCCAACGACTCATGAAAAACCATGTGCCCAGCCCAACTCATGGGCAGTATGTACACAGATTCCTGACTCAAAGCCAAACTGACCGTGAAGGTGGTGAAGACCCAATCTCTGGGGAGGCCCTTGGTCTTCCTAAACTTGTCATTGATGTATCGGTTGAGGTGCTCCATGCTCCACACAGTGCTCTCTTTCAGCACCATGTACAGGGGACTCTTCTTCTGCATGAACTACAGCAAAAGCAGAACCTAGAGGTCACCCTCTGAAGGGGCCACTCTGAAGGCTTCACCCCAACTTTCTGACCTTCACAGAAGCTCTATTTCTATCTCCTGTAAAAATTGCCTGTGAGATCCTCATGCATATTCCTTTATACCTTGAAACTTCCCAGTCAGCAAATCCCCCCAGACCCTATACAAGGAATCTCTGTTGAGGCAAAAGGTAGATAAAGGCTGCTAAAGCCACTCCCAAGCCTGGGCAGGCAGTCTGTAACTACACCCTTCCTCTGTGATCCCAAGTGATGAGAGTATTTTTCTGAGCTCATCCACACCTATAAGAAAAGGGCTTCTCCTCCATGGGGTCCTTACCTGATTGGTCAAGTGGCCACTGAGGTCACTGGAATGAGGGTCATACAGGCTGAGGGTGAGGCGGGCATAGCCATGGCCAAAAAAGACCATGTAGGGCATGGCACAGGCAATGAGCAGGTAGGAGCGCACATCAAACTTCTTCCCGTCCAGCAGCAGCGGGTTCTGGATGTATCTAGGGGGTACCATAAAGGGTACCTGGGGCTGCGTTGCTTGGTCAGCTGACCCAGATCTGTCATCCCCACAAAGACCATTTCCTCATTGCCTCCCACCTGTCCCAAGCATGACCACTGTTCATGGCCAGAGGACATTCCTGAGTCTGAACTGGTCAGAGGAATTGGGAAGAGGGCCTTATAACCAAATCTCTATTTATTGCAAGTGTCTGGCCACCACTTTAAGGTGCAGCTTTTACTAGGAAGTTTATGGGGGGCAGATTGGGCCCCTGTGGCAGGGAGAGCTGTCTGGAGGAGGATTGGCTTTGGAAGGGAGAGGGCATTCCACGTAGGACACTTCAGATGCAAGACTTAAGGTAGGAATTGCATGTTCTGGTAGGGGAGGGGGGAGGCTATGGAAAGAGAAGTACAAATAGCAGCTGTGGCCAGAGAAAGGGCAGATATTGGGTAAGGCTCTACTGGACCCTTCTAAAGGTGAGCTGACTTTTCCCTCCTAGTCATATGTGTAACTGAGGATCTGGGCCCCACTGTAGGCAGATGGGCCCTTGGTCAGCTCTGGGTTGCAGATAGGCTGTAGCTGGCTGGCTGGGCTGAGAGTAGGGAAGACAGCTGCAGAACAGAGGACACAGGGAACAAGCCCTCCTTGACAAGCCCCCACCCCTGGAGCCTGTGTTTAGGGGCAGTCTTGTCTGCCACCCCAGCTAAATGTGACACCCCCTGCACAGGCTGTAGGGGCAGATGTGGGCTGCTTGAGGCAGGTTGGTTGGGTGCTGCAGCCTGTCTGCAGCGTGGCTGACTTGTCAGCAGGAGTCACAGCCACCAGCTGGTCTGGATTATCCCTCTGAGACCAGACCCTTCCTGGCATCCATGCCCACACCTCTGCACCACCCGTGCCTGAGGTGCACGGAAGGGCATCTTGCGGTAGATGGGGTCGTCCTCAATGCTCTGGGTCTTGGCCTGAAGGGCAGCAACCTCCTCATGGCTCCTGATCAGAAAGATGCCCTTTCCCTGGTTGGAGGCCGTGGGCTTGCAGATCCATATCTGGGTTTCTGCAGGGAGTAACCCCTGAGCCTCTTGGCCCTGAGTACTCCTTGCCCCTCCCATCCCTCACCCTGCCCTGGCCCTGACCATACCGCAGCCTTGACCTTCCCTTTCATTGTCCCTTCCCATCAACCCTGACCACTCCAAACCACTCCAGCTGGCTTCAACCCTTGTCCTACCCTGATTTTACTACCTCACCTCAGTTTAGTGGGCTGTTCCTTTGTCTCACCTCAATCATACCCACAATCTGGTTATGGCCCTGCCACACCCCTACCTCTAACTAAGGCCACAACCCTCTTTCTCCAACCCCACAACACCAGAAACCACCAAGTCCTAAGCCCTGACTTCACTTTTCCTCTCTGGAACTAGTCCACCTTTTCCAGGTCTGGCCTTGCCCAACCCCCCTCCCACTCTGCTGGGGTCTGAACCTGATCTTGTCTACCCTTAGTGTGCCTAGCCCTACCCAGGGGCCTCTCACCATCAAATAGAGTGAAGAAGGCCTGTCTCTCATCCCTGATGTCCAGCCGATAGGTTTCTGGAAAAAACTCGTCCATTTTCAGGACCCTTGGGAGAACAGGGAGGTGAAGACATGGGGAGGGCTGTCCTCTCCTCAGACTTCGCCAGTGATCTAGTAGTTTGACCTGTAGGCTAGCTGGAAGGGGCATTCACCATTGTGTCCTCCAGCCTTCTTAGCCTTTGTTCACACTGTGACCTTGCAGAACATTCTTTTATGTGTCTCATACTCTCAGCTTTTCTGCAGTAGCCAGCCTTCTGGCTGCCAGACCCACTGTGGCTCCTCTGTCTCACCTCCCTGCTTTCTCTCTCCCAATTAGTCTCTTCTGTGTGGACTGGTTTCCAATGTCGAGACTGTGCCTGGCATAGAACCATAGTCAGTATGCATTTGAGCTCCCAAAGTGCCTTTCACCTAACAACACATCATACTCAGTTCTGGTCTCTCCCAGCCATCTACTTCTGTGGCCCAAGGCATCCTGGGCTAGTCCTTGTAAACTCCTTATGGAAAAGGACTGACACATCATTTTCAAATCTGCATCCCAAAGGCATGTAAGTTCTGGCCTGAGTAGTTACTTCCAGCATGTTGGGAGATGTGGGTGGGAGTATGCAGAGTGGGAATATAGATGGGTATAAAGGTGGGTGGGCAGATGATTTGCTGGTCAAGGTTAATAGGAAGTGGACAGCTGGGTATACAGATGTCTAGATGGTGATATGGATGGCTATATTCTAACTGCCACTTTGAGGGACAGATGGTGAGCAGTTGGTTGGATGAGTAGATAAATCTCTAAATAAATGTTTGGGTGAGTAAATGGCTGGGCAAGTAATCAGCGAACCATTGAGTGGTTCAGCTTGGCTGAGGAGTAGGGTTAGAGGAAACTGGATGGATATGGCTGGATGGGTAAGAAGGGGTAGGCACAAAATGATGGCAAAGTAGATGGGAGCAATGGATGAACACTGAGGGACATCCATGGGTGGCTGTTGTGGGCACAGAGTAAAATCTGAGTAGAGGATGGTGGGCGTGTGCTGGAGTAGAGGAAGATTGGTAGGGGTGAACCACGTGAAGGAGAGTGGTTTCTGGGGAGCTGCCGAGGGAGTGGTGAGTTTACGGAGTGGGGGGAAATGGTCCTAAGGAGACAGATGGAGGTAGAAATGGGTGTGCCTCTGGGACTGGGCAGGGTGGGCTCACTTGGCTTGGGTACTGGGCAGCAGCCTGGCTTTGCTCAAAGTGCGCCCATGCTCCCGCAGGGCACTGAGCAACCCGATCTTGGTAGTAAGCAGCTTATTGTTGGGGAGCTGGAACAGCAACTGCTGGCCTGGCAGGACAAAGAGGGCGATGTGGGTGGTGCCTTGAGGCTGCACCACATTGCCTCCCCTCGGGGAAGTTCCCTACCTTCCCGGAAGCTGCAGTAGTTGTCCCTGCACTTGATCTCACACCACTTTAGCTTGTAGTCCTCACAGTGACTGTCCTGAGTGCGTTGCCAGCCCTTGCTCTCACAGTAGCTGCTGATTCTGTGGGAGTAGACGGCAGTAATAACTGGGGCCTTTGGGGTTCTCTGAGGAAGGCAGGGCAGGAGTGGCTGCCTATAGCAGCATCTTGGGCTTGGTCCAAGTCAGGGGTGGGAATACAGACCAGGGCTGCCCAAACCCCACTCACATTGATGCTCCATTGGTGCCTCCGATGTAAAAGAAAGGGCCCTGACCAGGATTGGGCTGCTTATCCCCTTCCAGGAAGAGCCCCTCCAAGGAGGTCATAGGGGGTCTGGCAGTTTCTTCCTCCAGGAGGTCTATGGGCAGGTAGGTGGTAAGAAGCCTCAGCGTTTTGGCTCAGTAGGGTTTTCCCTGCCCCTCCCTGCTGCCATAAGACCCACCTGCATCTTGGTCCAGCCGACTTAGTTCAGGCCTGAGCCCCTCCTCGACACTGCTCCCCATCGGTTTCTCATGGGTCCAGCCTGGAGACCAGTGGTGTCAGGTGGAGGAATGGAGAGTACCCACCTAACTGCTTGAACACAGCCAATGCCAGCAGCTGCTAGGAACTAACCCAGCCCCTTTGGACCTCTCTTCAGCCCAATACAGATCTGACTGGAGGGTCTGGGGGGGTCATTATACTCAAGAAAGGAGGCAGTTTCCACCAGCCTTAAATCAGACATAGTCCAGGTAGTTTAGAGACCACAATGAGGGTGAAGAGGGCGGCCCCCCCTCCACTTTCCTTACCAGCAGGACAGGCTCCATGCAGGAAGTGGGCTGGAGTGTGAGGCAGGAGCCCTTACAGACATGATGTGGGGATGTCTCCAGAGGGCAGGGGTCACAATGTCTATGATGACATCATGGGTGACCCAAGGGTCTATGGTCAACCAGAGAGATGAGAGGCTGCACTAAATGGAGTTGGGGTAGGGAGTACCCACTGTGATGGCATGGATAGGTAGAGCCTGCAGATTCTTGAGCATATTGTCCCTAGTATGTGGGCCCCTGCTAGCTTCTCTCAGAGCCTGGTTGGCTGGCTGGCTGGGCATAGTCCCCTCCCTATGAGATTCTGTCCCTGGAAGCCCTGACTTGAGGGCATGTGGAACCAGTCCCAGAGTCATTCTGCATTCACCTGACACCCGAGTGTGGCATCGACGGATCCTGGACCGTTTGGGTCTCTTGGAGTTGACATGGGTCCGAGGGGGTTGACCCCGGCAGTGGATAAATCTTGTACGGCTGCGTGTTGCAGGCATGAGGGCACCAGGGCGAGGAACTCTTGGGGAAGATGTAGTCCCTACACTCCTTCGGGGTCTTCGAGCAGCCTGAGATCCCAGCCCTGGGATGGGGCAGACATCTGGCCTCCCCGCGTCCTGGGCTGTGGCTTCAGCTTGTGGCTCACTTCCGTCTCTGTGATGGCCATGAGGTCTTCCGGCCTGTGGGTGCAAGGCCATCTTTGCATCCCGTCTCTGCCGGGTGAGTCTTCTTCGGCCAAGACCGTCCTGGCCTCGGTGAGTGCGGCCTCTGTGTCTGCTGCAAAGAAGGTCCCCATCAGCCCTGTTGGTAGGTGCTCATCTGCAGGCTTGAAGTGCAGAAAGGCTCCTAGCCCCCAACAAAAGACCTACATACAAGTTTATGGCTTCCCAGATGCTCAGTCCCAGCCCTACTAACACAACCTGTCTATAGCTATTATCACTATTCTTCCGCTAGATGTTGCCATTTTCTCTGTTTGCCCGTTTTAGAACATTGTTGGGCATTTAAACACTTCCGAGGTGAATCTTTGTGCCTCACATTAAGGAAATAAACCCCGTTTGTTGAACAGGGGTGAGTGGGAAGACAGCACACAGAGGCTTGTGACTGGGAGGGAAAAATAAGCTGATGCCCCAAGATAGGAGCAGGTCAGCTCTACAGAGGAAAACAGGTCTGTGGATAGATGGACTGGCAGCAAAGAAAGGCCAAGGACATGAAAGTCAAACCATTGAGGCATTATATATGTCTACCAATTTCACCCCCACTGAATTGACAAGAGAAGAAAAAAAAAAAAAGTCCAAAAAGTTCTGTGGGGCAGAGAGAAAGTCTGGAATGAGAAATTCATACCTCTATAGAGGGTAGGCTGCAAGTGTGGAAGAATCCAGGAGTTCCTGGAGACCTCTTCCCATTTAGAAAAGACTCCAAGGAAGAGGCTGAGTTAGGAGCTTTAAAATGGGTCAGGATTGTAGATGTGATTCTGAAATCACTGGAAGGTCCTAGTGCATTCCACTGGGTTTCCAGAGCCCAGAAGCAGGTCTAAGGAGATCTGCTATGGAAATGGGACCTTAAGATACCAGTATTCAGTATTGTCCACAGCCTAAGAGGCTGCCTGGCTCAAGGGAAATCTTAGGAGGCCTCCTGGGTATGAACTAGAGGAACACATGGACACAAACACAGGAAGAAGAAAGTGGAATAGAAATGATATGAAAATGGAAAGAACTAGCTCACTACTGAAATGTGTTTGGGAGTGGGAGAGATGCTGTATTCTAAAAAGATACTGTGTTCTATAAGAACAGGAAGGAGCCTGTGGGAATGAAACATGAAACACAGAGGTCAGAATTAAGTCCAGAAAATTGTTTAGGAAGAACTGAGACAGGACCAGAAGGATTAAACTGAACACAAACTTGCAGAGACCCAACATTATAGCTTCTTGAGATATGAGGGAAGAAAGGAAGTTGGACACTCTATTTGGAGTTGGGGGCGGGTTGCCCTGTGGCCAACCAGTGCCCTCTAGCCTTTGAGGAGGGCACACATTGGAGTGCCAACTCCAGGAAACTGAGGAAGTTGGAAACAAGCCTGAACTACATTAAATCCTCTTTCAAACATTAAAAAACAAACAAACAAACAAAAAACCCCAAAACACAAAGCCCTACAAAATTACAAAAACTTTATTAAAAAAAACCTAGTGGGTGAGTAGGAATATGTCTACCTAAGAGAGGAAGGACTGGGATCCTGCCGGCTGTTACCCTGTCTAGTGAATGTGTTCCAGGGTCTCACTGAGGATGAGACCCAGAACCCAGAAAGGAAGCTCCACAGTAAAAGTTTCAGTTACTATTTTAGAAAACAAGCTGTCCAATAATGGAGCAAACCATGAGTCTTGGGATATAACATAAAAGTTGAGGGAAAACTCCAGGAGAGGAGCTAGACAGAAGCCTCAAGTCTTTATAATAAATGTAAAATAAACTCTTTACCTGGTCAGATAAAAAGACCGGCAGGAAATCACACCCCGGTACAATGGGCAGGAGATGCGCTTAAACCTGAAGAAGATGGCCAAGAAAATGACCACGTCAGTGTTCTGTTGAAGTTTTCCCCAGACACATTTGGCAACACAGGGCTCTGAGAAGGTGCTGACATTTTTTTTGAAGGGTTGGTGCCTCCCAAGCAGCGCTCACTGTCTGGGGATGTGTTCTTTGTGGATCTCAGGAGGTGGCCCTTCTGAGGGGTCAGTTCTGGGGAGACAGACATGGCTCTAGGCAAAGAGCTCATCCTGAGGGATTCCAGCCCTCCTCAGAGCTTGGGTTGCCCACGTGGGCCAGCCCCACCCCACAAGACATTCATTCCTTTCTTGGCTGAAGCACTGGAGTTTGGAGAGAATGGCCTCGGCAGACGGCTGAGGTCAGCCAAGCTGCCCAGTCCTCTCTCCTGTTTGTCTACTTCTGGAAAGGGCCAAAAATGGGGTACAGGAGGGCAAGAACTCAGCCTCAGCCCTAGTCAGGACCCTCAGCTGGCGACCAGCCAGTCTCTCTTACCTGCTCTGCAAGGTCTTAGGAACCCTCTGCTGGGATACAACAGTGGTGACCTGGCAACTGTCTCCAGGCAACAGTTACCAGGGGACTATGATTCAGCAGCTGCCCAAAGGTAAACAAGAGTTTTAGGTGGATGGTGAAAGGGGCCATTGTATGAGATGAGGGGCAGCCTCACAGAAGCTGGGCAAAGCAAGAGGTAAAGAGTGGGGATCAAATTAGTCTGAGGAGGCTGGGGGGGACTGAGGATAAGCAGGGGTCTTGTAATAGACACCCCCCCCCCAAGTCTGAACCATCCTCTTCTACCCTCTCATGATTTCTTCCAGGGCCTCCCTGAGCATTCACAAGGACTCCTTAATCCAGACCTAGTAATCTAGGATCTGACAGCAAGCATGGCTCAAAGTGGCTCTTGGTGCCAATTTGTAATTTCCTACTGAGGTCCGTGGTCTTGATTCCTAGAGCCCATGAACATGACTATTTTTTTTTAAAGAAAGGTCTGTACAGATGTAATTATCTTGCGTCAACCAGATGGGCTCTAAACCCAATGACTGATGACTTCCTCAAAGGGAAGCTGAATCAACAGTGTGCAGCCATAAACCACAGGAGGAAGTATGAGGACTCCCCCCAACGACGGCCTTGGTGAGGCATTGGTAGGATTTTGGAAATTCTGGAAAACAACTTCTGTTTTAGGCTACCCTCTAGCCCTCCTTTGTGTTTCTGCCCCTGCTAAGGGGACCAGTCATCCTCTTAGAGGCTGTGCACCCCTCGGTGTTACTAACGTGACTCCTCCCTTGAGGTCTCTTTCCCAGTCTAAGCTGCTGGGGTGTGAGGTTTGCTAGGTGAAGCTGGCAGGGCATCATCTCTCAGCTGTGCTGAGTCTTGAGGAAATAGGAGTGCTCCCATGGGCTGTCATTCTCTATTTTTGGAACTTACTGTTACTGTCATTGATCCTGCCCTTCTATTCTATGCTGGGGGCAGAGGGTTTTGTGGTCAGCCCAGTGCTGGCTCAAGAAACCACTCTGCCCTGATTAGTAGGGTGGGGCTGCAGGTTCACTGGGACACACAGCACTTCTACTAAGCCCTGGACTGAGTTATTGGGGTATCTAGCCCCCAGCCTGGGAAGGTAGCACACCTAATCCTGAAGATGCTCTGGACAAGTAGCCAGCAGTTACTACTGACCCTGGGGGGTATGAAGGACATTTCCAATTCTCATTCCAGGGGCCATAGATTTAGCTCAGTGCTAGAATGATTCCTTTACATTCATGAGACCCTGGGGCTTGGTTCCTGCACAAAACAAATACCCAATTCTCACTCCACTGCTGACTCTTGGCTGGGATGGAAGCCCCATTTTCATGGGTCACTTGACCTTGGTATGATTTGGCATACATATTGCATACCAGAACAAGTTTGTGTGTGGTGGGGTATAGTGAGCCCTATGTCTCTCTTCTGCAGGTCGTCTCTCTGCTGGGAGCACAGACCATTGGAATCCCTGTGTGCTCAGTCTGGTCCTTTGCAGAGCTGCTTGCCAGTGTTTTGTATGGTTAAAATGAAGTGATCAAAGTATAATTTCACAAGTCATAAAATTTATTGTCTTATAGAGATTTGTCTCCCCCTGCTTTTTTCTTACAATGCTTAAAAAGCAGACGTTAAAGAGACTACCCACCACAGGGTGCACAATGGGCAGGCAAGCCCCTCAGCCACATAGAAAGAACCTCCAAAGCAGGGTCCAGTCACTTGGGGGCACACCAGGCCTCCGTGGGAGGTGAAGTACAATCTCCATATCCTGGGTCTCTGGAGGGACTGGCCTGATCAGTACTAAGAAGCCTGTAAGAGTGTGTTGGGTCTCTTCTTGAGGGCAGTAAGTGAGGCAGGGCTTGACTGCTGAACGCAGGCCAACTTCAGATTTACATGGATCTAGGTGCTGAGGTAAATGGCTTCTGTGTGGGTTCTGAGAAGAGGTTTAGTTCTAGGTTTTTTTGTTTTTTTTTTTTTTGACACAGGGTTTCTTTGTGCAACAGACCAGGCTGGCCTTGAACTCACAGAGATCCACCTGCCTCTGAAGATCTGGGATTAAAGGCATGCACCACCACTACTGGGCCAGTTCTAGTTCTTATCACAGCCAAAATACATGCTTCTCATACAGCAAATGGTGTAAGAGTTAGGGATTATTGTGGAGTGACAGTTCTAGAAAGAGCCTTTTGAAAATTCACAGGGCTACGGGGCTAGGATCTTTAAGACTGGTATATTCAGCATCCAGAATTTGGTTGAAGCGTGGCTCTCTGATCCTAAAAGCTAGAGATGGGCTGCAGAGAGAGGGCTCATGAGCAGGTTGACAATGCAGGGCCATGCAGCCTTCTGCATATTCCCTGGATATGGATCTCTATCGCCTGGTTTGGCACCTGGGCAGTATCCCCATCCCTGAAGTTCATATGCCCTACTTTTCACTCTGGGTTTGGGCACAGTGATTAGAACTGTTTCTGTTCTCCTTGGCTCCATGACCTGAGAAGTTGGGGAGGGGACTGGGGACCAAGCCTTTGGTCTCCTCTGGCTGCATATCTGTGTTGACAACACAGGGGCTGCAGAATCTGCAGGTGCCAGCTGATTACAGCTTGAGATTCCTCAGTGTGGAGCCCAGTGGGCTGTGGGGTCCAGTGGCACTGTGACAACCCCACTGACTGCTTCTGAAAAAGGAAAAAAGCTTGGAAGCCTTGCGGTCTCACATCTTCATTATACAACATCTGCTGTGGCTGTGATGGAAAGCTACTCAGAGAGAGAAAATCAGGCCCAGAGGGCCAATAGGCTCAAACTGTGGTCTGTTTGGATGAGGGCATGATAGGCCCAGCCCTGGACAGTTTTACTAGATGGACAGTTGTACTAATGTACAACTAATGTATTAATAGGGAGCCTTGCCCTCTATTCAGTGTTCATGAGATGGTGAGGATGTCGTCTTCAATGGTGAAAAGGCCATGGATGGACGGCATTACCAGACAGTATTAGACAGAGGCATCCAGATCTAACCATGTCTGGTAAGACATCCATCAGCAGGCAGTGTGCTATGCAAAGGTCTTTCCATCTGGGCAGTTAGTCCTGATGCGATACCTGTGGAGGGAAGTGGGGAGTGCTCCCTGCCTACTCTGGTCCTTCGCCTTTCTGCAGACTTGGCCCAATGGTCATTTATGGGGTTGGCTGGGTCCTCCTAGGACCTGGGGTTACTCTGAGGACTTTCTTTCCAGGCTCCAGCCCACAAATGTGTAAATTTGTGCATGCACCAGTGGAGTCATCTGTTCACTTCTCGTTTTTATTTGGCAAATGCTCATCACAGCACCTCTTTGGTTTTCTGAATGGTTCAGGTTAATGAGTAACATTGAGGCCAGGGACAGGCCCCTGTCTCCACCCCTTCCCCAAGGAGACACCTTGGCTCATGCTGGGTGGGGTTCCCTGGTCCTGTACTCTGGCTTCAAATAAGAAATATTAAGAGGTAATCCTGTATTCTGGTTTGGGGGGCAAATTTTGTGCTCTGGACAGCCACTGGGAAGGAAAGGAGACTTGTCCTTAATTAGGACACAGCTGGTGACATCACAATGCTTCATTCCAGGCTCAGGTTCCTGAACTTACCCTTGCCCACTAATACCATGGGCACCTGATAGTTAAGAGTCCTTATGCAAACAGTGCTGTCCACCATAGTTCCTTGCCCAGCCCAGCATTCTGACCAACCCTGACAGGAATCAATGAACCCCAAAATCTAGCCAGCAGGGGAGTGGGCAAAGGTAGGCACAAGTAACAGGCTGCCTCTATCCCAGGACCTCTAGCATGGTGAATCCAGCCCTTGCCCAAGCATGACTTCCCACCTTGGGCACAGTCCAGCCCCCATTGACTGCTGAGCTGTAGAGCTGAGACAGGCCCTCTGCAAGCCCAGCACATCCTCTGTCTTGGCCTATTAGAAGTCCAGGAGCTAAGACAAGTGTATCATCAGCCTGTCTTCGGCGAGTGGTGGGCCACCTTTGAACATCGTTACCAGACAGTGTTAGAGTCAAGCCAAGAAATCCAGCACTGTCCGGTAAGATGCCCACAGAGGCCCAGGTGAGCTTTGGCAGAAGATACAGGGTAGGACATGCAGTCCTACCCAATGGAAACCTGGTGCCATGAACAGCTAGGGATTATATCTGCATTGGAATAGGCTGGCAGAGAGAGGGTGACCCTAACTCATACATACTTTTTGCTTTGTCCAAAGTGAGGGGACTGGGACACATTGATTCAATGCCCATGTTAGAGATGCTGTTGGTCTGTAGGTCAGTCACTAGGGGTCAGTACACATCTCCCAGATCTGGGTGACACAAATTTTGGCATGAGGCCCTCTGAGCCCAGGCCGGACCTTAGTCCTTTAGAGGCTTTGTTACAGTTCCACCCAGCCTACACCTGCGAGGTGTGGTGATAGCACCTGCCTGGGTGTTGTAGGCAGGACCTAGGTACCTGAATGTCCTAATCCCCAGAGCAATGGAAGGGGCCACCCCCAGGGCAGTGGTGGTAAACCCCTCATCCCAGGACACAGCCTCTCAGAGGTGCCTGGTTAGAAAAAGCTCTCCCGAAGGCCCCCATGCCCAAGGTTAACTTTCTACCCCATAGCCCTACCCTGGATAGGGTAGATAAGGTGTGGAACTAGAGCCCCTGGGGGCTGGGATCAGGAGGCGGCCCCATTGCTGCATGCAGGGCTCCGCCGTCATCATTACCAGGCAGTATTAGAGATCAGACACTATCCAATGCTGCCCAGTAAGATGGCCACGGCTGCCCAAGTTGGATATGGAGGCCGCCTGGCAGGGAGTTGAAGAGCACTAGATTCCATGGGCAAGGCCCAGATGCCTAAAGTCCTAATTCCCAGAGCACCGCAGAAAGGGGGCACCTCCAGGACATCAGCAGAAAACCCTTCATTCTAGAGGGCAAAGGGAGACTGACCCTTAGCATCTTCCAACTCCAAATATAGGTGGCGGGGACTTGACAGCCTGAAGTAGAATCAAATTTTCTTCA